CTGTATAGCCAATACATCCTTAAAATTCGTTTCACGCTAACGAGTAAAGAATTGATGTTCCTAAAACATTTTATGCACGTAAAATGTCTCCTAAAATAATTAGATCAATCATAATATTGTCATTAACTATATTTTGTCACACCTGCGCAAGCACGCAAGTCAATTATACTATATAGTATTAATATCATTCTATCGCCTATATACAACTCTCAAAAATGAAGCTCCGAAGTTTACGCGTTAGTGCTGTTGACTACTAATATTATAGTCGTTTCGTATCAAATGAATTTTAAAAGATGTTACTTCGCAACGCAAAATATTCGCATTAAACTGGCCGTAGACGTAATTGCAAGATTGAAAAGCATGCATGATCAATCTTTTTATACAAGCACACTTGAACGTTTACATGATAAATTCGCAAGCGTTTTAATTGTACAAGCGGCTTGAAAACTGATTGAGTTTCAATTATGCATGCGTGTAGAAGCGGCGCTTGCACAAGCAAAACGGAACGTATGGTTGAAAATTGTATGCAAGCCTACAAAAACGCCCATGCTGCGGCATATTAAATCTAAAGATTACCTTGATAAGGTGCAGAGGGAAACTATATTAATAAAAAGATATAGATTAATTGAACCTAACGCCGATAAGGATTCAGCTGTGAAAAACATGAGTTTAGAACTTAGCTAGAATTGAATTCTTTTTTCGCGTTTTCATCTTGTAAATAAGGGTAGAAGCAGTCAAAGTAAGTGTATTGCCGCCCGAAGTCGACGCTTGTTCAGGCAAACTTGTACCATGTGGTGGCAAAGATAAATTGTCCGTGTTTGTATAAAAAGATTAATCATGCATCCTTGGGAAGCTTACAGTTACGTCTGTAGCCACCTTTATGTGACTTCTAGTCATTGGAAGTAGTAGCACGCACTAATGTGTATATGTACTGCATTTTACGAACATATATGTGTGTTTATGTATACTGTTCCGCGTTCTCATATTCTGCTAACAAATTTCCGATAAATACATATTGTCTCGTTTGAATACACGTGAACGCAACTCCTCCCATAATATTTAAATCGCAGTAACAAGAATAAAGGTTTAGTCTTCTAATTTGTTTCCGATCTAGGCAATAGATCTGTACAAACTGTAGAGAATCGAAAGAAACAAAAAGAAGGTGAACTGATGGTGCCTTTTGCAAAAACATTTTAATATCATTTAACAGAGATCTAATCGATGTTTCTAGTTATGGCTGCAATTAACATTACACAGATTTTGATTACAAAATAATTTGCTAAAGTAACTGCTAAATAATTCATGTATCCAGCAATATTGCATGATTGCTGTGAAACTAATCCGTACTACTACCACAGCTATACAATACAAATCAAATGAATATAATCCTATATCTGGCAATATCTGCAGTGATATTTACGATGTTTTTTCCTAAGCTAGTGATGTCGGTACAGCCTTTAGTTTCACATTAGTTACAAAAAATAATGCTCTGTTATCTTTAAAGGAACTCCCTGCTGAAATAGTAATAACTTCTGTTTTCTTTTAAACTATCTGCTGGTATACTTTACATTTTTGATCCCGTCTTATCGTGGCTCTTTTGCAGCCTCTTGTGATCCTTCCTATACTTTTCAATCGTTAAATCCGCATTATCCGTGCTCGATAAACTTAACGCGATAGGGTCTAAACTCGCTGCAAGTTTCAAATAAGTCTCCTCCATTTCTTTCGTGATCTTGACGTCATATTCGAATACACTGTCCATTTTTTTCGAAAATTTGGGCAATACTTTTTGTTCTTCAAGCGGCACGTCGAAAGATATCAAGTCTTTCTCTTTCTCTGATTCAGTATTATTTACATCCGATGAAAAATTATTTACATCATTGCTTGAATTTCTCCCGCCCTCCTCCAACTCTTGATCGTTTTTACATTTACTTTCTGAAGAATCGGAAAATGCTCGATTGCTTTCGTTTAACTTGGACTTCGTTTGCGAATCATCTAAATATATCAACGACGAGCTTTTGTCTTTTACGTTCTCGTTAGGCTTTATCTCCGCGTAACTAGGTTCAGAATTGTCCATGTGAACCGAAGACTGAACCCATTCGGCTACTCTTTGCAACTGATTATTGTCGTGCATTAGCATCGGTGAATTTTCTTCGCTGCTCGTTGAAATTGATTTATCAGATCCCGATCGAGACAATTTCTTCGAATGAACTAACGCGGTATTTAGTTTACTATTTCCACTAGTGTATAATACAGTTTTATAATGTCCAGCATTATCTAAGAGGATATTCTTCGATCCGGGTGTGACTCTTACGAGGCAGTTCCTCGGACCGCTGATCCTGTTCTGAGTATTAGGTTTTGAACTAACGGCACTGTGCAAACGCATCCCGGTCGATTGGACAACATCGCTAGAACTACTGGAAGGATCGGAAGTCGAGATTACTATGCTATCGCTACTGAAACTTGGACTGGTGGCCACTTCCATTTGCCCAGAATCATTTTGATTTGTAACACTGTCGATGTTCTTGACCTCTATCAAAGTCAATTGCGCTGGATGGTGTTTCTCTTGGGCAGATCTATCGTTCTTCCAAATTCTATCGTTAATTACGTCGATCTCTATATCGCTGTTAATTTTCTCTTTGCCCTCTTTCGTGTTAATCTGCGACTTCAATTTGGTCCATTCGTTCTTCCATAATCTATCATTAATTATATCAATATGACTCTGTTCTCTTCCACCGATATTATTTTTAGAATTCTCAGAAACTACGTGACTACAGTTAGAGGATTTCTTCTCCGATTTGTTCCAAGAATTTGTGTTTCTGCTATCGAGTTGGAGTTCACATTTTTTATTTAGTTTCGTCTGTTTCCCTTTGTCAAAATTCATTTTACTCATAAACGCATCGGTCACCTTTTGAGGTACCATCTGCTTAGCCGTGTTCTCATGTTGATTTTGAAATGTATTTTCAAATTGTGGATCGTTACGACGAATTAAGGTTTTTTTGTTAGTCTTCACGTTAACACTCGCTCGACCATCCTCTTTCAAATTGTCTACAATTTTACCATTTCTATTTGTAAATTTATCCTTTATACACAACTGCTGATGGTTACCATGTCTTGCGCAACTGTTCTGAAATTTTTCTTTGCATGCAATATTTTCATTTACTTCGTGGTAAGCTACGTGTAGTACAGTGTTTTGACTTTCTTTATTTTGGCAATTTTTTTCAATGTTCTTTAAATTATCAGAATGTTTCTGCACGCTTTGAGCGCGCTTCATCGTACACTCATTGCAAGAGAAAACATCTGGCACGCCAGTTTGCGTTTCAGCATCAATCGTTAAAATACTTCGGTGACAAGTACAGGTATCGCAATGCTTTCCGAATATTCTCTCTTTCTCTCTATCTTCCAAAACCTTAGCCATTATAGCGGCTGAAACTATGTCGACCGGCGGCTTCGATTCATCTATGTCATCGTCATCTTTGTCAACTGTAGACTTGGTCACGTTATAGACCATTGCCGTTGGAGGAAATGTTGAAATTGGTACTGTAATACTTTTTACATCAGGGGGTGAGACATCACTGGGATGTTTCTTCTGTGCAACATAGGTTCTAACTTTGGCTTGTACCTCAGAAGGTAACTAAAACAAACAACTATATTTTAAAATATTTCTTCATATTATAACAATTACTCTATACATTACATAATATAAATAACTTACGGAATCATATTTTTGTCCAACAAAATTAGAAGGTTTACACTGAAGGAGTTGTATTGCCAAGTTTACATCATTTCTATATTTTTCCTGAAATAAATAACATATTTATAAATATTTTTTATCTTCGAAATATTTTATATGTGGAACATACATTATCTTGAGTTAAACGGTGTATAGTACAGTTTGCATCAGCTAGCCTATGAGATAATGTAGCAATATCCTTAGTAAATGCACTTTTCTCTGTTTCACATTTATCTACAATCCTCAACAATTTATCCTCAAGATTTTGATTTACTCTTTGAACACGTTTGTGAGCTTCGTGCAATCTTGAATATTTTTCCTGCCAGATTGAAAGTTCCTCCTTCATGGAGGCCAGCTCTCCATTCGGAAACTTTTCAGCTTCACTCAAAAACTGTGTTTCCATTGTTACAATGTGATTGTCCCTTTCTATTAGACGTTGACGTAAATTCTCTATCTCTACATGCAAATGCATGTCCCCGTGTTGCTCATGATTGCAACTTGTACACTTGCAGCCACATTGCTAGAATAAATAATCATAAACAAACTATGTTCACATATGGCAAAAAAGGCTAATTCAAAGTTTGAGGTCAGTCAAACGCCAACGCTAATATTTGCAAAGACTAATATCATTTCAATATGTGTTATATTTTATCAATTGTTGTAAGATTAATTGAAATCTTCAATTTTCTTTTGTCATTGTTAGCATACGTACCTTACATTTTTCAGCCATTGTGTAATACACAAATTATAGTAAAAATTCCGAAAAAATATTTACGAATAACGAGACTTCGAAATTGGAGCCTCATAACCCTGTTGTTCAATACGAACTAGAAATATGGACAGCTTTTACACGTTTCAACGTTATCTATTTCCTCATAACATCGTCATCTTCCTCGGCTGCCAGTCCGATAAAGGTCGTCTTTTATGGAATCGTTAACGCTTAATAAAATATTGTTGCGATTAACTTCGTATTGACAGATTGTAAAGTTCTCTGTCGTCTGCCATGTATCCAGCTTCCACAAAGTAATTCGATCGTCGATCCAAATGTTAATCACAATCGTCTTTCAATGTTTTAACGAATACATCGCATTACTTTATTACTATTTTATGTTACGTTAGTAATTTACTAATAACAAATAGCAATTAAGAGGTACAAAGGAATATTTAAAAAAAAACTTGCAGTAATGGAAATCGTACTTAATGTAACACTCCAAGATGGCCAATAGAACATTACAGAAAAAGATTTGCACTTTTTATTGGATATCATAAGTACATGCAATTGTGACTAATATAATTAAATGCAGAATATTAAGAATAAAAGTTTCGTCCGTTTAGTTGATTTAACAATTAGCCAATAAAATAATAATTTTGTAAGAAAGAGTATGTATCCCATAAAGCTTGGAAATCGAATTAAGGTGGAAATCAAGATCGTCATTTAAATTCGACAGATGACATTCGCATGTCATGAAATATTGAAAAATGAATTCAAAAGATGAGTATTTGTAAAGGTCATTCAATTGTACTAGAAGAAAATAAAAATGAAAACACTAATTAACAAATTCATCTATCGAATGTAAGATTAATAAAACTGATGAGTAATATTAATAATTGAACTGATTAAACAGATAATTACTTTCATTCCGTCGAACTGTACGTACAGCGTAGTACTTTTATTTTATCAATTATATGTAGTGAATAAATCGTTTATATGATATAAAATTACGATTATATGGATACGTTAACGCTTAAGTAGCAATATGAATCATTTTTTGAAGAGAATATCAAGCATTCCGTAAGATCAGTTATTTTTGTACAATAAAGAACGATTCGGATGATTTCACTTATCGCAGATCCTTCCAACCTTCGCCAAATTCAAGGTGGACTACAATGAGTCATTTGCAAAAAAGATTGCAGTTGTATAGTTGCACCTTGAATCTTTTAAGATACTTATACGGCATTACTTTTGTAACTGACAGATTGTAAAGTTCTCTGTCGTCTGCCATGTATCCAGCTTCCACAAAGTAATTCGATCGTCGATCCAAATGTTAATCACAATCGTCTTTCAATGTTTTAACGAATACATCGCATTACTTTATTACTATTTTATGTTACGTTAGTAATTTACTAATAACAAATAGCAATTAAGAGGTACAAAGGAATATTTAAAAAAAAACTTGCAGTAATGGAAATCGTACTTAATGTAACACTCCAAGATGGCCAATAGAACATTACAGAAAAAGATTTGCACTTTTTATTGGATATCATAAGTACATGCAATTGTGACTAATATAATTAAATGCAGAATATTAAGAATAAAAGTTTCGTCCGTTTAGTTGATTTAACAATTAGCCAATAAAATAATAATTTTGTAAGAAAGAGTATGTATCCCATAAAGCTTGGAAATCGAATTAAGGTGGAAATCAAGATCGTCATTTAAATTCGACAGATGACATTCGCATGTCATGAAATATTGAAAAATGAATTCAAAAGATGAGTATTTGTAAAGGTCATTCAATTGTACTAGAAGAAAATAAAAATGAAAACACTAATTAACAAATTCATCTATCGAATGTAAGATTAATAAAACTGATGAGTAATATTAATAATTGAACTGATTAAACAGATAATTACTTTCATTCCGTCGAACTGTACGTACAGCGTAGTACTTTTATTTTATCAATTATATGTAGTGAATAAATCGTTTATATGATATAAAATTACGATTATATGGATACGTTAACGCTTAAGTAGCAATATGAATCATTTTTTGAAGAGAATATCAAGCATTCCGTAAGATCAGTTATTTTTGTACAATAAAGAACGATTCGGATGATTTCACTTATCGCAGATCCTTCCAACCTTCGCCAAATTCAAGGTGGACTACAATGAGTCATTTGCAAAAAAGATTGCAGTTGTATAGTTGCACCTTGAATCTTTTAAGATACTTATACGGCATTACTTTTGTAACATAATTGACAATTATATTATTTGAATTTATCAACATTTTCTTTGCCTCAGTAATGCGTAAGTATATTATTACAATGCCTTATCATCGTGGAGATACCTACAAACAAATGTAAAAAATGTGCTACTCAATACTTGAAATGCATACATATGTATATGTAGTTGTATATGTACGGCCATTGAAAAAAAAGACAATTTACAGAGGACGCTGCAGCTATATAAACGTAAACATTGGTCTAACTTCACTGTCGAACATCAACCTAAAAAGTTGTAAATATATATTATTCACAATTTGGAACAAAATTGATTTTTCAATATGACAATTGTCATATAAAATTGTTAACAAATTTAGAGTAGACATGTGAAATATGGTATAATGAACGTTGAATCATTCTTGTGAAACGTCAGGTCAGATAAGATAATCATTTTACACACTGATCTCCTAGCGAAAAGTCTTTTTAAGTAAGTCTCCAAAACAATTAATTGCCAGTGAAAGCAGATTCGTATGCCTTCTAAATGATTAGGTGGTAAAACAAAGTTTTAGATATCGTGCATCTTGTTTGTGAACAAAATAGCAGATACAGTGTATGCATCTTATATTTAGAAAGTAAAAAAAGAAAATTTCCAATGTCAAACAAATATTTCACGTAGATTATTAAAATACATAGTTGGAAACTAAAGTTTTGCAAAAAATACATTCTACATGAAATGTAAAACTAATGATAAATTGTCTTTAAGGAAGGAATAAAAATATAATTAATACCTTAAATAGGTGTAAATTCATTAAAAATATAATCGATTTTTTTCTTACTATAATAA